ATTTGTTTTCAGTTTTGTTTCTTTGATTGAAATATTCTTAATGCATGTCCTCGATTGGTAATGGGGCTCGAATTTTGTACAAACGATAGAAATTAATTGAGGTTATGTTGTGAATTACGAGTGGCTTTTCAGATGGTGGACCTCCGAGACGATAGCGGTGGTGACGGGCGCCAACAGGGGAATCGGGTTTGAGATTGTGCACCAGCTGGCGTCCCATGGATTGACGGTCATCCTCACGTCTCGTGAGACGGCCGTTGGTGAAGAGGCTGCAAAGGTGCTGCAAGAGGGAGGATTGAATGTGGTGTTCCACCAGCTGGATATCGTCGACCCTCAGTCGATCGAGGCTTTTGTCGAGTGGGTCAAGGAAAAATATGGGGGCATAGATATATTGGTAAAGTGAACAAACTCCTCCTCCTCCTCCTCCTTTTATCATATGGAGCCAAGTTGATTCGCATTATCAGTAAATGAAAATTTGTAGGTAAACAATGCGGGAGTAAATTTCAATGCGGGATCCGACAACTCTGTGGAGTACGCAGAGAAAGTGATTGGTACCAACTACTTTGGGACCAAAAATATGATCAAGGCCATGATTCCTGTATTCAGACCTTCGGATGCAGGTGCACGTATTGTTAATCTCAGTTCTCGATTGGGAAGACTAAACGGGCGACGAAATGTAAGTACAAAAAAAAAATCATCTTATGTACAAAAGTTCATGATTTTCCACTAACCCCAAAAAAGACGATTCCATCTGTGCAGAGAATTGAAAATGTGGAGCTGAGGAAGAAACTAGAAGACGACGAGTCGCTAACAGAGGAATTAATCGACGAGACAATGAAGACGTTTGTGGAACAAGTGAAGGACGGCACGTGGGTCGAAGGCGGGTGGCCCCACGTTTTTACAGATTATTCGCTGTCGAAATTGGGTGTCAACACTTACACGAGGCTGATGGCGCGGGTATTTGCGGATCGGGCAGAGGGTGAGAAGATATACATAAACTGTTACTGCCCGGGATGGGTTAGGACGGCAATGACGAGCTGGGCGGGGCACGTGAGCCCAGAGGAAGGGGCGGACACTGGGGTATGGCTGGCCCTGCTTCCCGAGCAGTTTGTGACCGGAAAGTTTTTCTCCGAGAGGCGGGAAATACATTTTTGAAGTAGGAAGGTGGGGTTCACTTCTGTGAAAAAAAAAATCATACAATGGCTCTAATTTTCTTCGTTTCATTATGTCTTTTGGGTTGTTTTTTTGGGTAGACACATATGCTCAGAATGTTAACCTTTCCTCTGTATTATTGTGAGAACGTAAGACAACATTTATTGTTAAGAATCGTATGACAACATTTATTGTTAAGATGTTTTAAATTAATCTTTTACTCATTGCTCAAGAATAATAACAAAGGAGTGGAAATATGACACGTGGCCGCAGTTGAAATTCGTGCGGCATCATCAGGGCAAGCCGAAATTCACTTCATGGGCCAAGTTTCTTAAGTATCTCGAACGGGCCAAGTTTCTTAAGTATCTCGAACGGGAAGTCTTGCTTTTTAATTTTGTTCGTATGAGCTTTTTAATTTTGTTCGTATCCTATATCAGCAATTCGACGAACTCCTCGCATGTGTTGATATTCGCAAAACTACAAACTAGCTTGTTTCACGTTGCTGTTGTCATCATCATCATTATTATTATTATTATTATTATTATTATTATTATTATTATTATTATTATTATTATTATTATTATTATTATTATTATTATTATTATTTCTAACATTTAGTATTTATTTGTTATTTATTTGTTCTTGGTGAACAAGTTTAAGCTTTTTGAGCCTTATATAAAAGGCTCTCTCACCCTATATTACTTGGTGAATTTTTAACAAGAAATTGATAGTATTTTATAGTGTTCTAGGATTGAATTCTCATTCATCTATTCCACCCGTATGCTTCTCCTTCATTCTATCTTTTCCACTCGTATGCTTCCCCGATATCACAAATGATAAACAAATGATGCTTTACTATTTACCTAAACGTTTCATTTATGTGATGTAGCAAAATGAATTTCCAGTACGGGCTAATTTCAGTTTTAACCATGTGCAACCAAAAGCAACAGTTCAAACAACAACAGAACAAATACAACACCAAGGAACTAGACTGGCAATAACAACCCTAACGCAGTTGTCTGGGTGGTATTGCTCTTGTTGGTGGATTTGGGATCGAATCCCCCGGTCCCAAATCATCAATAGGCGGCCGTTGCTTGTGATGGTCAGTCACAGACTGGTACGCCATAGCCAACGCCAAAGCCTGAATAGATTTAAGAAAACACGGAAATTCAATCTAAAATCATCTTCATCTTTTAGTCTTATCTTTTTTTTACTCTTCCAAAATGAAAACATACGATGTGATCATGCCCTGGCGGTGCGAAAAGACCTGCTGGGACTGTAGTTTTCCTTCGAGTTTCATTCGAAGGAGCATCAGATATTTGCTTAAACCCAGTCGGCAAAACAACTACGGGCATGCCCACGAGATTCCCCACGCAAACAAGTTCCCAGTCAGTCGCATTCCCAACAAAGGCATCGACTTTGAAACTTTCTCTTACTTCTCGTATTAGCTTCCCTCTAGCTCTTTGTGCCTAAGAAAATTTAACACCATTGTTTTATAGCTCGGATTGAAGAAAAAGGATCAAGCGGGAAGAAAATAGTTTCAAGTGTAGTACATACTTGGATATAATCTACGGCAGGCACGACACGGGCCCGCCGGAGTTCAAGAGGCCACTGGTCCTGGGCTTCGTAATCGTCATCCAGCCCCGCGCGCTGCCACTGGTCGAAGTGGGCCAACATGTCAACATCCATGGTGAAGTTGAGAATACCTTGAGCAGACTCAACAGTGTAATTAAGCTTAAACGGGATCATATTCACGCCTTTAGAACGAAGCTTTTCGACCACCTGTTGGCATCATTTACAATTTAATTACACAACCAAACCTCAAGCTCATTTTTCTTGTTGTTTTCAAACAGCTGCGAATATTTTAGGTAATTAATGCAACCTCATGGGTAATTTTATGATTTGGCAAATTGGACCTTGTTTTATTATCAACTGCACTTACTTCCATCTCGGCAGCCTCAAGGTACCCAACGTTTAGCTTTGTCACATCAACGGCGAACGGGTCAGAAAATGGTATGTTTGTAGATGAAAGATCATCTGGATCCTTGCCACGGATTACGTCCAGTACAATTGCACAGTCCGTAGCATCTCTACAGAATGGTCCTAATTTATCCTGTGAATATACTCATGCAAATCAAAATTTGACCCCAGCAGAAAACTATAAGAAAAAAGGAGACGCATAGATAGAAAAATGATACCAAGCTCTCGGATAAGCTCAAAACACCAGTTCGGCCCACAGTTCCAAAAGTTGGCCTTAGTGCCGTTGAGCCACATCGAGCAGCAGGATACGTGATTGATCCAGCAGTTTCTGAACCAATTGCAAAAGGAACCAAACCTGCAAAAATCAGATGTGCGGTTAATTGATCGTCTTACGAATTACGATCAACTATCCTTCTGGTTCCCCCTCCCCTCGCCAAAAAAAAAAAAAACAGCTAACTTAAAAATCACCCTCGAGGTTTATATCCACTTTACACATTGAACCCAAACTGTTCCTGATAAATATAACAAACACAAGCTTCTGATATTTCATCTTCCACTAAACAAGCACATTTACTAGAATGTAACAAATAACCGAACATTGCTACACTTAAAAATACTGTGGGTGTAACTGTGATATCAATTCCGTCATGTCCTACAAAATAAAACTACAAGGATGGTTTTATAATCTTCAAAACTAGCTTCTTTTTGTTTTCTAAATTATCCCAAATCTAAGGAGTAGATTTTGTAACCATCCTTTACAATTTCAGACAGGAGAAATTTTTTGGAAATTTGACCAATACAGACGGTCGGAAACAGAGGGCTGATCAGATTCTTTTACTGTTATACCAAACCAAACCTCAAAGATTATTTATACTAAGAAATACCAGCTGAGGTGCTAGAGGCTGGTCCAGCTGATGAACCAGTGGAATATTCCTCGATATTCCAAGGGTTTCTTGTCCTACCCCCGAACCATATATCATCATAAGCAAGTGATCCAGTTACAAGCTTTGCAAGAAGAACTGCCCCAGCAGATTTCAGCCTGAAATTTTGACAATCAGCATATGCCAGAAAAGCATGTAAAAGCCCATACCGATTTAATAAAAATAAAAAAAAAAAGCATGTAAAAGCCCACTAAAAGTTTTAAATATTGTACTCAGTGTATATGTGATTCTTGACTACCTCTTATAAACCCAAGCTTCAATGTCCAGAACTTGATTTTTAAATGTTTTAGAACCCCATGTCGTCTTGTAATGTGGTACAGCAATAATGTCCTTCAAGCCATATGGAATTCCATGTAGTGGGCCTAATTAAAATCACATGTACAAGTCTGCTTCACGATGTTCTACGGGAAGAAAGCAATACAATATTCCAAGAAAAAATAAATAAACAAATCTTGTCGGATAAATATCCCAAGAAAACCATGCTTATGAGCGATTGGATACAATAAATTGACTATTCATTCATTCAAATATTCTTAACTACCAATCATTTACATCTACTTTAATCATTACATTTTATCACATTCATTCATAAATCCAAAAATATTTTATTCTTCCATGAAAGTAATTTTTTTTTCTCTTTTTTTCAGAAAAAAATATCCAAAAGAATATATATCCAATCCCAAGAAAATCAAGGCATTCCATCAACGTAATAAAATCTTGCCATGCTTCCAGGTAACATAGTTCGCAAAAAATTTCAGCCATGCTATCGCATACAATTATATGAGTTATTACCACATTCATCATGCAAAATCATAAAAAGAAAAATTGCATACCAATATATTTGCCTTCCGCAAGCAACTGATCAGCTCGTTTTGCTTGCTCGTATGCCAACTCTTCTGTTATAGTGATGACAGATTCAAGGACAGGGCCATACCTGCACCCAGTCCAAAATATGCATTATCAATCGAATAATTAACCACATGTACCCATATATTCATTCACTCAGTAACACCTTTTCAATCTATTAAGAAAGATTCGTGTCAGGTCCTCAGACGTAATTTGCTTTGACTTGATCAGGTGGCCCAGTTCCAGAATCTGATCCGACAAAAGAATCTCACAGTAAAAAAAAAAGGTTGCATAATGTGCAGGTTCAATCATGAATATAAACTCATTGATATATTTTCCAGACAAGCAAACTTACACTCAAAAAGGCAATGTCGTCATCACTGTTTGGCCTTTCTACATTAGACACAGAAGGATACTTGAATCTTTTAGGGGCATTTTGGACACCACCATCATGATTCCAAGCAGAAGTGAAAACTAAACTAGATGGATTTTCTAATCCACCATTAACGGAGGCAACTAATTTTCGGTTCGACTGAATAATAGGAATATTGAGCTCCTCTGCACCTTTTTCAATCTCCAGCATCTGCACGATAACATATTCGGAACTAATTTCGATTCTCATTTGATAACAACAAGAATATCCACTACAGTCTTGAAGTAAACCCTGTGCATTACCTTAGATTCGGACAAAAAGTCTGCATCCAACATTCTGAAACCTCTACACAATGAGCCATGATCAATCTTGCGAGAGCACTTACTAAAGTTTCCGAATTGCATTTTGGCCCTGTCCTGACCACACACATGGAACATGTCGATAACCATATTTGAAAAAAATAATAATGATAATAATAATAAGTATAAAATACAAATGAAATAGAAGTTGAGAAAGGCCAGCAACACCTTGTTTTACTGTCTAGACGAGCATTACCTGGGGATAAAGATCTGGGAATGACCCCAGACCTGCTTTATAACTTTTACACTGTACATGTCGATATCACTGTTAAAAAGAAATTAGAAGTAAATCTGGATCTCTGTTTCCCTCATCAACTAATTTACTTTTATTTCATATTCAGATGTACGAAAATAGGTAATCTTTTTCACCCCCTTACTTGAAAAGGGTCTAATCCAGCATGGTGGCAACATGGTAAACTATGTTTGCAGGCTACTAACCACCGAAATGCAAATTAAAAATAATTTCATAGCTTATATGACATACTCATTGTCCTACCAACTTACTCGAACCCCATAATTTATACTCCATCCAGTATTACATAATTTATACATGTACAAATCTTTCTACATGATCTCATTAAAGCATGCATCTAAATCTTTCTACATGATCTTATTAAAGCATGCATCGGGTAGTTAGAGGAAGCAACACCTTTTTGATAACGTCACTACATGATCGTATTACAAAATTTCATGACAATAAATTTGATCGTGTTACATAATCCACCAATATCAACAACCAATTATGCTTAATGCTTATATATATTAGAACTGCAATATTGAATAACAATCATGCTTATGGCTGATCTTTCTTCTGTAAATCATTAAAGAAAAATTTTGTTAATTGGTAATTAACAAAAAAATCAAGGCTGATTACATTAGAAAATGACAGCTGAACCAATTTGGAAGGAAATGTACTCAGGTGAGTTGTTTCTAATTGTTGGTAAAAATGAAAGCTTCAGTCGAAAATCACGGCTGGTTGTAACAAAAATGAACACCGCCTTTCTCATTGATATAATTTAACTTGTTGAGAAATCAACGTCAGTTCCGGTAAAAGATAACGGACGAACCAATTAAAGACGGCTTGTAGTAATCAAAAGCTTCTAAAATTAGGAAAAAGTTCTCCATTCGCAGTAAATCCTTTCCACCATTTTATACATAGATATTCATTCTTCTTTTCTTCTTCTCTCAACACACGTTCTCACTTGCTATTCGATAGAAGCCCACAGCAAATCAAGCAAGGATCTTTTAGTGCACAAGTACATTTATCAACATGTACTCAAGTAAGGAAGAACTCATTTGACTTGCTGAGGAAAAATTCAAGGTTAAGCCCGCAAAATGAGGCATTTCAATAACCCACATAATAAACCCACATAATATATTCATCAACTTTCTTAGGATAGTCGAGCAAGACCAGTAGAAACTGCTCTCAAATTACCTAAAGTTGTGCCAATTAACAACAAAAAAAGGAGTGAAACGCAACAATAACAGAAAATTGAACTTTCATCCAACCCAAATTGAACAAAATAAATAAGTATTAAATAAAGTGCAATGAACTGCAAGACAAGAGAAGGTACCTTATGGAGTGTAGAATCCAGAGCAAGAACGTAGTTCTGAGTCGGTAACAGAGAAGTGGCGAGGTTGAAATAGAGAAGCAGCGATGTGAGTACGAGGAAGATGATGTACGAGGAGATACGTGGCGAGCAAACTGGCCGAGTAACGGGACACCTGTCGACCAGCTGCGCTGCCCACCTGAAACTCATACCTTAACTCTGTTCTTGAAGAACGATTATCTCTCGTATTTGGAAGACGGTCTCGTCTTGTAGATACTTCAGAAAAAAAATATATATATATATATATATATAATAAATAAATAAATAAATTAAGTAGCCCAAATATAAGAATCTAGCCCACTTAGACCGGCCCAAAAATTTTAATTAGCCCACAAATTTTAAGTAGCCTAATAAGAGATGGAGAGAACATCTTCGTTCTTCACAATTCTCACATTCTCAGAATTCTAGAAATCGAAGGAAAGGAGAAAGCAATTTTTTCTTCACGACTTCACCTGAGATTTCTCGTTGGTCGTCGCCCTTCTTGCTCGTCGGAGTCCGTCCCAAACAGAGGGTCGAACGGAGAAACGAAGCCCTTTTTTCCCTCAATTTCAGCCGCAACCGCCGACTCGCGAGAAGCCCTTCCGGCGTCCGCCCGCGAGAAGCCCGTCCGACGGCCCTCAATTTCAATTCGTCGTCTACTCCGCTCGAGAAACTTCATATCTGTTTCTTACTCCGGCGGCTCCACCTTGGTACGCTATCGTTCTCCATCTTTGTGTATTCCTATTGTGTGTACCTATCTATGTTTGTGTGTGTGTGTGTGTGTGAGGTCGATGATAACGAAGCTTTAAATCGTCTACTGAAACTCGGTGGCTCCGAAAATTTTCTGCCTTCTTCCCTAATTTTTTTCTCCACGGATGCAAAGCTTATAATTTTCGACTTTCTTCGTGAAGGAATTTTATTGTTATGATTAATTAATTAGGCGCTGGGTAAATACTTTGATGGTGGGACTTATATGAACATCTTACCAGAAAAAAAACAGAGTACTCACGCTCATATTAGGTTTAAAATTTGGAAGCATTGAGCATTTTGCCTTTATGCAACCCACTTATTCTCTGTGCTGGAAAAAGGCAAAACAGGAAAAAAGCATAGAACATCTTGAGTTTTGACCGAATTTTAATCCCTTTTTGAGGATTTCTAGATATGTTCTTTTCCAGTTCATCGTATTCCTATTGTACTGCTACATTCGGTTCGAAATCTTCACGTTTTCCTTACGTCTTTTGCCATATTCATGTTTTCCTTTTGTAGTGGTTTTCTTTTTCCAGTGAATTATAAAAACGGTTTACAAGTAGAAGTGTGTACAACCAGTGTTGAGAAAACTTGCTATACCAGGTGGCAATCATGTTCAAAGTCCCGGATCATCAAGTGGCAGGACACAAAGCCGAGGCCGGTAAACTTGGGCCTCTTGTCGATGGATCCGGGCTTTTCTACAAGCCTTTGCAAGGGGACGAACGCGGATCGAACGAGGTCTCTTTCTACACCTCTTTCTCGTCAAACGCCAAAATCCCCAAACACATTGCTCGATTCTTTCCCAGGTTCCATGGGACCCAGCTTCTGGAAGCTTCCGATGGATCCGGCCTGCAGCCCCACATGGTCCTGCAGGACCTCACCTTTGGTTGGGTCAACCCGTCCGTGATGGACATAAAGATCGGGTCGAGGACGTGGGGCCATCAGGCACCCGAGGACTACATCAAAAAGTGTCTGAAGAAAGACCGGGAGAGCACGAGCGTCTCCCTGGGATTCAGGATTTCGGGCCTGCAAGCGTTTGGGAGCAAGGAATCGGGCTTCTGGAAGCCTGGTAAATTGGAGGTCAAGTCCCTCTCGGCTGATGACGTCAGGCTATATCTGAAAAGGTGTGTTTCTTCTGATGTGTTTGGTTCTAAACCGGATTGTGCGTTTGCTTCAGTTGTTTACGGGGGCTCGACTGGTATTTTGTCGCAACTGCTCGAGCTGAAGGAGTGGTTTGAGGATCAAACGATTTATCATTTCTATGCTTGCTCGATACTTATTATGTTTGAGAAGGAGGATGTGTTAAATGGGAAGAGCTCTCGTGCAGAGGTCAAACTTGTCGATTTTGCCCATGTTTTCGAGGGGAAGGGTGTTATTGACCACAACTTCTTGGGTGGGCTTTGCTCTTTGATAAAGGTCATATCGGAGATACTCACAACTCCAGAGGCATGTGTTGCCGATGGCTTGTTGGAGGATGGACAGGAAAGTCAACTTGGGTTGTGAAAATGGTTCTGTTTAGAATTTTCCTCGAGGGTTGTTTTTTGGCTATGCTCTGTTTTTTTTATTATTATTTTTTTTATTCAAGTTTTCCTGAATTTGATTGATCATTTGTTGCTAAGGATCACTCA